ACCAGTCTGATCTGAAGACAAGATTAGAATAGAATTACTTAGAAGAAATAAAGGAACAAAGGTTTACACCGCAGTATGCGTTGTTGTCCACTAACGTATTGCCAAAATGATGTAGGGTCAGAACGTGTAACATTTGCAAACATATTCACTGATGATACTGACATTCAACGACCTGACGTTTACCTCGATCACGTCTTGGATACACTGACCAACAGATTTCCAGCTGGTCATAAAATTCCATTCATTCAAAGAAAACAAACTGTGAAAACCTGAACAAGTTATCGTCGCACACATGATGTCATTGCCGTGACAACTTTGACAGGATCAAGATCATAGATGTGTCAATGAATGAACCAGTGATTCACTGACTCCATTCCAGGGAATCGGTAGTATTCGGTACCACTACAGTCGTCCCTCTTTAATCCAGCACCCTCTATAAACCAGCACCCTCTATAAACCAGCACCCTCTATAAACCAGCACCCTCTATAAACCAGCACCCTCTATAAACCAGCACCCTCTATAAACCAGCACCCTCTATAAACCAGCACCCTCTATAAACCAGCACCCTCTATAAACCAGCACCCTCTATAAACCAGCACCCTCTATAAACCAGCACCCTCTATAAACCAGCACCCTCTATAAACCAGCACAATTTTCAGTTACTAAAAATGTCCTCTTCATGCACATTGCAGGAGTATATAAGATTTTCTAATCCAGCACCCTCCCCAAGCCAGCAGAATTTCCGTAGCACAAATGGTGTGGGATTATACAGGGACCACTGTACTACAATTATGGTCTATATGTATGTGAGCCTTTCCTGATACGTTGAACATGTTTTCACGATGACAGCGTGAACAAAGCGGAGAACCTACTGTATGAGAAACAGTGTTCATAACTGAAACCATAAACTGGTTGGTAGAGTCTCGGTCTTGCCAACATTAGAACCACGAGATCAGGGAATATTCCTATAATGCTCCTATAGAGTAATGCGTGCCTGAACAGGGGTATAGCCCCATACGGTTCAAATTGGCACAAGATCGAGACCCTACCCGGCAACCGGTGTATGGTTGCAGTGAGCCTGGAGTACTGTTTTCCCATACAGTGGGTCGTCTGCTGAGCTGGTTGTTGCTGAGGCCCAGGTTGCTCGCATGTGAGAATCTATAAATTACAGCAGATTATTTTTGAAGTTGATTGTTCCAACTAGGAACACACGCTTCTTGCCGAACTTGACACTTGACTGACGCACGACCGCCATCCGGAGCACACGTGGAGCACTTCACACCTTCCACTCGGCAAACCTGCAAGAAAGCACCACTCCCTGCTCCATACACAGTGTTTCGGGGAATTCACCCCTCATCAGTTGAGCTTGAGTAGGCTGAGGGAGATTGTGCCTGAAAATCACCACTTATATACTGCTCTCCAGGCCAAACCATCACCACGAATACAAACTGATGAGGGGTGAATTCCCCGAAACACTGCGTATTGAGCAGGGAGTGTTGCTTTCTTGCAGGTTTGCCGAGTGGAAGGTGCGAAGTGCTCCTCGTGTGCTCCGGATGGCAGTCGTGAGTCAGTCAAGTGTCAAGTTTGGCAAGAAGCGTGTGTTCCTAGTTGGAACAATCAAGTTCATGACTATTACCGCCGAAGTCGCAATTTCTAAGTTCAGATAATTTTTATTATAAATACTGTCAACACCTTGCTAAGGGTGTGCAGACTCCACTGTAGTCTGTAGCCACTTCATGTTTCACACAGTTACACACCACTACTCGAAAACGGTCTCTTGGCTACAAATTCGTAAATACTGGACATGGATATTGAATAACTGTACTCAGTGACTCTTTACATTTTACAGGCTACGTTTTTATTATTTTTATTATTGTATAGCTTTCCTTGAGTAACTGAGTTTTATGTTTTCGTTACATTGTCGTCAGATCTCCTGTGTACCGGTTTTGTGGCACAATGATTTAATATAGCCATTATATTTGGTCGTCTTCATTCTTGTGCAATCATGCATATGTAGGTTGGTTCTCTTCATGTTATTGTGACCAATTTCATAGATGTTGGTTGCCTTGTTGCTTTTTCTCCCCCCTCCTCTCACCCAAGCCATTCTGCATAAGCGAAGCTGTGGACGCAGCATACTGCTGCTACACTTCAACGCGGGAATGCGTATAATAATAATAATAGCTTTCCTTTTGATCTTGTCTCTTATTGTTCTGACCTTTCCACAATATTGTGTTGCATTGTTTTCCCATACAGTGGGTAGTCCACCTTGTTCACACTGTCATCGTGAAACTTACATACTACAATCAGGTACGTGTAGTTACGAAGTTTGTCTTCAAACCACACTACCCAGATCTGTTCATTTCCAACAGCAATGGCTAGACAGGAATGTCGTGAAATTATGACTCCATACCAGTAAGGAATGTTTCTCCGGCCATTTTCAGTCTTTAATTTGGCAAACATTGAAATCTCCCCAAACTCTGTAGAGTGAGTTAAGATATTGGTAAACGCTGTCCAGCTGTACTTATACTACATGTACATGTATGTGCTACACTTGATACTGTGCGTAGAGGTACAGACTCACTGAAATGTTTGCTACTTTGTCGGCTCATCATCTCAACACAGATCTTAGTGAGAACAAAACTACTTATTCGTACTAACGATGAAGGAATTTAGAAAACATTTTCCAAAGAGAATGTTTGGCCATGTTGCTGAGCGTAAGTTGCTCTGAGTCATTGACTATGATTGAGCCAATCTCCGTCACGTGATAGAATGCGCTGCGTTTCAGTGTTCTACGTAGCTTTGTAAATGATAGCAATGATGATGTCCATGCCTGTCACGTGACCACTCTTAGTCAATGTAGTGGTTGATTGTGTGACGATGTAGTTAGACAGTGTTGATGTGCAGCATAGTTTACATACAGTGACGTCTGTATTCTACATTGCTGTTTATCTCATAGTGGATATGTGGGAGAATCTCCGACAAAATGTCTTTTCTACACGTCATGTAAGAAGGAAATGATTTTATAACGTGATCCGCTGCAAATGTGGTATCTGTGTCTGTGGCTGGAGGCCCAATATGTGGCTGGAACTTCCAGATATGATACCACACAGAGCTGCTGAAATTGGGTGTTGGCAAATGAGTGTCCCTGTAACCGACCTGGGGCCATACCACCCTTCAGGAGCTGACTCTGGATCTCAAGACTGTGTATTCTACATGTATTGGTAAAAGTTTCCATTCTGAACTCAATGCCACTGGGTTGTTATGTCTAGTGTTATGTGTAATGACGTCACGACGATTGAAGGGAAAACTCTGTACAAGTACAAAGTACAGTCTGTAGTCTTAAGTACAACTTCTAACGTTATGCTGTATTTGTTTACTAGGACAAACCATTTTACGCTATGCTGTATTTGTTTACTAGAACAAACCTTTTTACGTTATGCTGTATTTGTTTACTAGGATAAACCTTTTCACGTTATGTTGTATTTGTTTACTAGGATAAACCTTTTTACGTTATGCTGTATTTGTTTACTAGGACAAACCTTTTTACGTTCTTTTAAGAACGTAAAAAGCCTTTAAAAAGGACAAGCAGCAGCTTTCGGCTTGTTTATCAATAAACTAATTACACATCCCCCAAACGCGCTCTCCACCAAAAGCCTTGGATTCGTGTTGCTGGTGTGTGAGGTTGGCCAGAGAGCGTGTTTGGTGGAGGTGGAATTACTTTAGCCCTTTTTACTGGCAAAATAAACATACTACAGGTTGATTTTCACGCACATTCACATGCCAGAGGAAAAGACAGCAGCAACAACAGCAACAGCCCTCCAAGTCCAAGGTTCCAACACACCATTGCATGCTTACACATACAGTAGATCTGCTCACGCACGAACACTCGAATGTACAGTCTGTTGCTGAGTAGTACACCAAACCACACACAAGACGTACCACACCCAAGACCACACTCAAGCAACTCACTACGAGTACAGTGTCTGCATTGTCATTGTCAAGTTGCTCAGAGCCGCCATGTCATTATGGTGACATGTTTTTAGCAACAACCTGTTATAAAATAGAATTTTACGACAATCAGATTGACAACACCAACTGTTGTGAACCCTCTGGTTCTCTAAAGTATCAGGAACGAACGACCCCACACGGCACGAGGACCACTATTTATTCTCAACAATATCTTTCACTTCCATCGACTAATAACAATGAACAATGAATGACTTAATGAACAACTGAAACAACTGAATGAACTGAATAACTAACACTAAAACCACCAGGTAGTTATAGCGTGAAAATGACAGCGTATATGAGAAAAGCATACACATACAACATACAACTACAGCGCACACAGCAAACCGCACATAGCGCACGTAGCGTATACTACGTCGTAAACATCAGCGGTACGGCGGAGTCGGGATACAGCTGCATTGGAAGCGAACACAATGTCACAAGCGAGAAGGCCTTTCACTCTCGAGAACTTGTGGTTTCACAACACCAACACCACCCTGGTCTGTATGGGACTGTGCCCTAAGACATGATGTCATCAGCTCTTTGTCCATATTTGATGAGAAGAGCGTAGCATTGAATCGTGATTGGTTCCAGGTAGTGTTGTTATGTGGTAATGGGGTAGGTCCCCCATTATGTGTGTAGTCTACATGTGTGAATGTGATTCTTGTCACCAATGACTAGGTAAACAACACATTTTTATGGTCTCGGTCTGTGCAGAGCGGGACGACATCGAGCAGACGTGTAGCATATCACGTGACAACACAATGACACACGCACACACGCAATGCCAATGCTGCGAACAAAAGATGCCTGAGTTCGCGCTAAGGCACACAGCCACAAAGGCTAAGCAGTATCAGTAATGTATGAGTAGATGGCCGTCCGTGGTCTGCCAGACAGTGAGCATGACCTGCCATTTACCACATGCATGTGATGCACGATTCGTTCAAACATTAGATCACATCGCTATTATTAATGGTCAGCACAGCTCAGTCATCCATTTCTCAAGGCACAGTCCAGTTGTCCGTTTTCGTCTCCCTGCCTTTCTCTTTTGTTTCAAACGTCTTCTAGTGTTGTTGAACAGTCCCTCTGACCTACCTTTGTTAGACGTGCATTATCTTTTCCAGTCATTGTTACTCTTTCTCTCAACTACTAATCAGTCTGTAGTGGCTACAACGCTCTCTCAGAGAGTAACAAGTTCAGCACAACGCTCTCTCAATGAATAACAAGTTCAGCACAACGCTCTCTCAGTGAATAACAAGTTCAGCATAACGCTCTCTCAGTGAACAACAAGTTCAGCATAACGCTCTCCTTCTCTCAACGGCCTACTTATTCCAGTCAGCCCACTCAGCCAACGTTTGAAGAAGATCTTTAAAGGAACGGACAACTCACTCAGTAAGTAAAAATACAATCATGTGCTATAGGTCTCTTTGAAATCCCCCTACAGCATTAGTATCACTGATATAGCACATTGTGACTATGCCTACTCCAGAGCTAGGACATCAGGCTGAGTGACACGGTTGAGAGCTAGCGTGTGTGCTCATGCTTGGTAGAAATGCGTCAGGTGCTGCACTAACTGACCTGGTTGACATAATGGGTGTATTTGCTCACGTTAGCGACTGAATCATTCGATTCACTCCCTGACCCTGTTCTCGCACTGAGTGCTACATCTTATCGGTCTAGTTAGCAACTGTGGATCGTTCAGTAGCGGTTCATGACCTGTAGATCAAAGTCCAAAGTTCAAACAGTGAGTTACTCCTTCGCTGCACCATTCCGTCGATCAGCTGAATACCTTCTTGCAGGTGTAGGCCCTCCGGACTTCCACGTCAAGTTTCTTCTTTTCTCTTCACTGCTACTTGAAGACAACGTTCAACAAAACGGCAAGGATGACTTTCTTCAATTCAGCTCTTTCCTTTAGACTCACTAACTGTAGCCGTGTTCATCTATGAGAAGTTCAACGGTGACTTTACCCGTATTGCAAGTTAGAAACTGAATAGACCATTTTCAGAACTCTCAATAGACCAGAGAAGTTCATCATGTTTCCTACACTTAGCGAGAAAGAAGAGAAAAGTAGATCGTTTTCACTGTCATCAACGTTTCTCCAACAAGGAATGTAAGTTACAAATGGTGGCACTCCATCTCTTTCTCTTCGTTTACTTCCCATATTTTCGTTAGTACTGTCGTCTCGTTGGTCTCCACCTTTGTCCTTGTCTCGTGTCGCAACGTGACGGCCATTCAGGGACCTACTGATTGACCTCTTGTAGACGAAGTACATTTCAGTTCTTTGTAACGAAGGTAGACTTGACGAGCAAGGGGATGTATAGATATTTCTAGTTGTGATCGACATGAAGATTGTTCAAATATCAAGTGTTTGCTGTTGTAACTGTTCGTGCTTGTCAAGTTGAAGTTGAAGTTGTTCCATTCATTTTGTGTGGAGACCTTTCTTCGAAGTTCGGAACTGTCGTTTTCTTCTTTGTTGTGAACGGTACGAGAGTTGGAGTTGTTTGAGGTGGAGAGCAGTATTCTTTCGTTGATAGTTGTCGTAGGCAGTTGTAGTAATGAGGTGTAACATTTGTCGGT